TTGGAATAAGTGGACTTGGTTTAGCCCATATGCCTTTAAAGCCCAAAAGCCACATGGGGTTGTCTTCCCAGCCACTGATTTTGTTCATTTATCTCTCGTGTACCCCTGACTGGGACTGCCCATCCCAACTAGAAGATTTCCAGTGCTGGCATGAGAGTTCATTAGGGCTTTGAGTTTGTGTTGATGGCATCAGTTTGAGATCATTCAGAAATCATTGACCGGTTCATTGGACCTGCAGTTGACCACCTTCTGACTTATTGACATGCTTCATGAGGGTTTTACATTCCTATTTACTGCTATTGGAATGCAAAACCCATTTGAAGTGAACAAAAGCCATTCATTGCCTGGATGGGAAGGGGGTTTAACACCGCGGATGTCAACTGGTTAAAATGTGAAATCCATTTTTAAATTGTAATAAAGTGAAACATTCCACACAATGATAAAATAGTGATATAATAGTGTTATGGAACTGATTTATTCTTCCCCACAGGATATCCTAAGATACTCATGTCTGACCCCGGACTGCAGAGGCGTCATTTCTCATATTGTAATATATGATTCTACAGGGGAAGTGAAGTGTGAGGTATGTTCTCTGTGAGATGCTGGATTTACAGTGACTTTGTTTTTTACATTATATTAATTTTATAGAATAAGCTTTCTTTTTAGTTTTAGTAGTAGTCGAGTCCTTTTTCTGTTTTGTTATTATTATACAGGATTTATATAGCGCCAACAGTTTGCACAGAGCCATAAAATATAAGGAAGAAATTACAATACAATTCAAGACAAGATAAGGAGGGCACTGCCCCTGAGGGCTTACAATCTAAAAGGGAGGGGCAAGTGATACATGAGGAGGGAGCTGTGTGGGGATGAATTGTTTGAGAACGTGATGGTTGAGTGGTTAGGTTGAGGTTGGATAGGCTTCCCTGAAGAGATGAGTCTTAAGGGATCGCCAAAAGGCAGTCTGAGTGGGAGATAGACGGACAGGTTGGGGTAAAGAGTTCCAGAGGATGTTCACTTACGTGGTACGAATGACTGCAGCTTATAGCACAGCCCAGTTTCAGTGTCTTGAAATGTATGCAAGAAGGTCTTTTTAGTCATCTGCACCAAGGCTTTTAGAACCAATAGGTATGACTATTCATCTAATTTTTTATGTCATAATTGCTTTTTTAAACCGCCATTTTAATTTGCTGTCAGTCTACTTGGCATGATATTAATCCTATCCAATACAGGAATACAGACACTCCTCACTTAACGACCGAGTTCCATTCCTACGACTAGGTCGTTAAGCGAATTAGTCACAAAGTGAGGAAATCTGCTAACATATACAGTACATGACTTAGGTTTGCATACCGCAAACACCAATGTAAAGTACAGTAATGAATACTGGCTGACCGACCGACCAACTGCGGGAACGAGACGTAGACTGAGAATGGGAGATGTTAGATGAGCTTGCCCCAAGTTCTCCTACAGTGTACATACCAACTGGTCTGAGAGCTTGTAAGTCCGAGCGGTCATTAAACAGGTAGGTAGGTTAAGTGAGGAGTAGCTGTATGGGCGGTGCCTTAAAGGCTGGGTTCACACCTAGGCGTATTGAATATGCGCATTTCGTGTCGCACGTTTTTACCGCGATTCGCAGTAAAATAAAACGCGCGACAAACGCGCGTTCCTGAGGGCTACCTGGCTGTATACCAATGGATACGCGCGGCAAAAACGCCCCAAAGAAGCTCCTGTACTTCTTTGGGCGTAGGGCATTTTGTAGTGCGTTCATACGGCCTGTAATAAGCCCAGGTGTGAACCATACTCATAGGAAATAATGGGATTTTGGTGTTTGAGCGTTTTGCAGAGCGTAGGAACGCGCTACAAAACGCCCAGGTGTGAACCAGGCCTAACTGCTGTTATTGTCATCTCTGATTCACAGCCACCAGTTTCTTTCCTGGAACAAATATTCTTCCAGTGAGCTCTGGAAAGTCTGATTTCTAGTTCTGCGTGCTTGCTTTCAGGTCAATGACTCTCCAGATAGTGAAGCCAGGATCGGAACTGCTTTTGGACATCCAGAAGGCTCCAGACATTTCGTGTCCTTCAGTGGACAAGGAACATTTTTGTGCTCTCCATCAAATCCTTTTCTTGAAGTCCATTAAGGGACACAGGTCCCACTCTTCTCTGTTTTGATCATGCTTTTGGTACTGCTTTGCAAAAAAACTGAGGCACGCTAGTTGTTTACAAGGTAATATGGGCTTGCCTACAGTTTTTTCGCTTGCCATTGTCCAAAATCTTTCCTGTAGGTGGCAGTATAACCCAAAGATTAAAAACTTCCTTGTACCTCAATGGACTCCAAGTGAAGGATTTTACTGCTGATTTAGAAACTCAGGTTGTAGATAGGGATGCACTGATACTAGTATCGGTATTTGGGCGAGTACTCGTACGCCCCCAAATGCTCCGATGCCTGGCCCAATACTTTAGCTTCCGGTTTCAGGAAGCAAGGCAACGCGTCATTACACGGCGGCCGGCTTCCTGGTTGGCCGGGAAGCCGGCTCCATGCTCCGTCACTAGTGGTCATGAGAAAGCATGGAACCGGCTTCCCGGCCAATTAGGAAGCTCGGTGCTGTGTAATGACTCTTTGCCCGGCTTTCTGATTGGTCGAGAAGCCGACCATTCAGGAAGCCGGGCAGCACGACATTACACGGTGGTTGGCCGGGAAGCCGGCTCCATGCTCACTAGTGGTCATGAGAAAGCATGGAACCGGCTTCCCGGCCAATTACGAAGCTCGGTGCTGTGTAATGACTCTTTGCCCGGCTTTCTGATTGGTCGAGAAGCCGACCATTCAGGAAGCCGGGCAGCACGACATTACACGGTGCCCAGCTTCCTGATTGGCCAAAAAGCCAGCTCCATGCTTTTTCATCACCTAGTGACAAGGGAGCATGAAGCAGGCTTCCCTGCTAATCGGGAAGCTGGGTGGTGAGTCTTTACACGCCTCCTGGCTTCCTTAATGGGACTTCCAGTATCGGTATTCGGTATCAGTGAGTACAGAAAAAAAAATAGCGGTACTCGATACCGAAAAACCGGTATCGGTGCATCCCCAGTTGTAGATCCCTTTTTTATTTAGGTTTAAGAATCCTAAAATACTGCATATTGCTTTAACTGCATTTATTGCTATACATTGTATTTGTAATTGACAAAAAGGATTTTATGGTGAGTACAATAATCATAGTTCACTTTGTGAAAGGACTGGGGGATGTCTGGATCTTCTGTCAAGCTTTTATTGCAGTCTTATTGGCTGTTAGAGATTTCCCCTTGCTTCTAATCTTGAATACTCTTTTGGGACAGGAAGTGAGGATAATCTCCAACAATTATTGCAGTGGCTCGGTTTACAGAAATAGGAAATTGGGGAAAATTTCTTAAACAGCAGTTAAAATAAATCTCAGCGCTTTAAAGCGCACCCTATCCAAAACGACAAACTTCCACTGTTTATTGTAGGTGCAATTGTCTTTCGGTGCATATTTACATTTTTGTATTACACTTTCTTTCTAGTTTGAAGATAAAATGATAAAGAAGAAAGAGCCACATAAACCTGCAGTAAAAAACAAAAGCACAAGGTAAAATCACATCTGATGTAAACGTTGTAACATTGTAAAGGAAATACTTTGTTGCCGGTGACTCATAGACCTCTAATGTCACCTTAAAGAGAACCTGTCAACCCCAATGTGCTATCACATAAGGGGCTTTTGAACCCCACCATGTGATAGCAATAAAGTTAACAAAAACATTTAAAAAAATAAAGGTAAATTAAATTTAAAAGTACGAAGAAGAAAAAAGTCCCCTGCAAACACTCCTCCCACCCAAAGTGCGATCGCCTGCATTGGAACGTGCGCTACCACAATGCCCTGTGTTCCAGTGTTGTGCGATTGCAAAAAAGTGTGCATGCAGTTTTGTTCTGAAGTAAACTTTTATTTCTCTCCCGTTCATGCGTCCCGATCTTCTGTCCCAGGGTCCTGTGTTCCATCCTTTTTTCCAGTCGCTGGCATTGACGGCGTGGCTGTTGAGAGCCACTTCAATGAACGGAGAGAAAAGGATTTTACAGTGAGTACAAAATCCTATTTCTCTCCCGTTCATTGAAGGACACAGGGAACAGATCGTAGATCCTGAATGGTAGTAACTTGGTAAAAATAGTTTTGATTGGTTAATGTGTCTGAATTTAATGCGATTTCTTAAACACCCGTTCCTGTCCTTGTCAGCTAAAGTTACTTCTGCCCTTTGCCACATGCTCACATAGGTATTCCTCCCAAGGTTTCTGTATCATAATTTTATATCTTTTCTTGTTTCAAGTATCAAAAAACAGAAAGCTAAGCATGAAAATAAAGCAGAGAGGAAGAAAGCATTAGAGGAAGAACACGTAGATCAGCCACATGGTGGTATTCGAGGGAAACGTCAAGAGAAAGTCCTTCCTGATCCAGTTGGTGAGTGCCGATGCTGTGATCTCTTATGCTGATGTTATAGAAGCGGTGCAGATTTGTTGGAAGAGTGGTGGCTGACATCCCATGTCTCATCCTATCTACCTATGTACTTTTTTAGTTTAGTAGAAGCTATTTTTTGCCAAAACTGAAGTTACTTGTTGGTTAACTTGTGTTTATATTTTCTCCTTGAGAGAGAGAATGGGTTTATAGTCTCCTGACAATCTGTTGTCTTTGGTCAGGGACGACGGAGTTCTGGGAATGTAACTGGCATGCATTTATTATGCCAAATTACCCTTAGGCTTGCCACAGAACTAAACATTAAAGTTTTTAGGGAAATGGGGAAACTCCTGACTAATGTTGACAGTCCAGATAAAGCTAAAAACATCCAACTCATTAAGGGCCGGTTCACACCATAAAGTCTGCGTTCTAGAGCGGTCTGCCTCTGGGACGCAAGCTGTCCGCCACCCGGAGGCAGGAGGGGGTGTGACAGTGCATTGAAGTCAATGGCACCACAGCCACCGACTGCCGGGTGAAAGCCCGCACCCGAAACGCAGGCACATTGGTGCCTGCGTTCCCGTCCAGGGCGATCTGCAAAAATAGTGCTTGCAGCATTTTTGCACATCGCACTGGAGTGGAATGCAGGCACCAATGTGCCTGCGTTCCAGGTGCGGGCGATTGCACTGAAGGCGGGGGACATGGCTGTGGTGCCATTGACTTCAATGCACTGCCACGCCCCCTCCCACCCCTGAACGCAGGCAGTCTGTCAGCTTGCATTCCGGAGGCAGAACGCTCTGTAACGCAGACTTTGTGGTGTGAACCGGCCCTAAGAGGATTTTTAGGAGCCCCCTCCACCACCACCACCCTTATCAGGGCTTAGCAGCATTCTACCATAAAGAATTTGAATGGGAAGTTGCTATCCCAGAGTTTGTTTTGAATTGCAGTTTAAAGTCTGATTCAGTCGCTGCTAAACCAACTGGTCCATATGACTCCACTGTGTCCTGTAGTGCTGTATGGGTCCGCTGATCAAAGCATGGAGCTCACAGGAGGACCAGATATCGAACACACTTGGAAAGTGTGCAAGATGCCAAAGATTCTTCAGCAAGCTTAGTCCTTTAAGAGGGGTTGTATAGGGTGAAGGGCCGGTCAGAGTATTCATTGTAAGGCAGCCCTTTTTCTCAAGTTTTTATCCTAGTGAATAACTTTAAAGCCCAATTCCAGCAAAAGCTTCTTTTTGTTGCTATCTAAATCCCGACTAGAAAGATTCTCTGTGACTTCTGCTCCTTCTGACTCCCAGCCACCAGGACAAGAAGTGAGAGGAAACCTCCCCAATAAGTATACAGGCAGCAATAAAAATCTGACTGAGGTCTTTATCACTATATCCAAAAACCGTTGTGGCTGGGTTGAATTTTAATGGCCAGAACTCGGCTCTTTTTACTTTTGTCTTCATACAACTGACTTTGTTTTGTTTTTATCTTCCCAGTGAGTAATGTCTACCATATACCGTGGGATCCTTTGCTGTCACAAATAATGCAGAAACAACAGTTGATAATTAGAGGAAGTCCCATGTCCTTTCATAGTTTTTGGGAATCTATAGCCGCATGGAGAGTTATAAGTGTACAAGAACTGAATGAATTTGACAAGAATATCAGCCCACCGCCTCAGTCCAATAGCAAAATGAAAAACCTTCTCAATCATCTCTACAAGCAAAATGACAGAGTCAAAACCAGAGTGCTCCTCTATCTGCTAAAAGTCAACCATGAACATATATCTAGTGATCTGCATAAGTGGATATTAATGGTAGATGAAAAAGGTAAGCAAGTGAATAGCTAGCGTGTTCAGTTTTTGTTTTGGCTCCTACCTCTTTTGTGTGCATTTAATGGTGTATTTGCAATATTTGAAGTGAAACTAAACTCCCCCCCCTCCCCCGAACAGAAAAAAAAGCAGGAGAAACATGAAAGGTCTCTTTTGCAAATAAAAACAAAAACCTTTTCCGTGGTTCCTTCCTGGTGATATTGTGTCTTTTGCATGCACTGTGCTCTTTGCTCAGTTCTTAAAGTGGAATTAAAGTCAAACTTTTTTCGCCCACTTCCCAGTGGACTTACCTTAAAGGAGAACTATGGGGTTAAGGCTTTTCCCCATAGCTCTCCTTAAGGTAACGGGAGGACACAAACTAGCGTCCTCCCGTCACCCTAGGCTCAGTATGTAGCTCGCGGTATACTGAGACGCCGCAGTATACCGCAAGCTGCTGCTCGCTGTATACCGAGACGCCGCAGCTGAAGCGGATCCTGACAATTGTGCCGGGATCCGCCCAGCTGCGTGACTGACAGCTGGCTCTGCCTATCTAGAGGCAGAGCCAGCTGTACCCGCCCCCTCCCCCGTCCGTTCCGCCAGTCAGCGCTGGCGGATCGGAGCGGGGAGGGGGGAATCCAGCCCCTCCCCTGTCACGGCAGAGAGCCGTGACAGGATCGAGAGGTGAGCGAACGCCGGTATGTGTTCGCTCACCTCCCGATCTACTGAGCCGACCTGTGACAGTCTCATTGTCACAGGTCGGCTAGAACTATGAGGTGAGTGAAAAGCACTCACCTCATAGTTCTCCTTTTAAATTATGCCTCTTGATCCGATCATCTTCTTTACTGTCCTTTTTAGCTGTCCCTCCAGTGCTGCTGCGGGTCTCCGATCCAGTGCTGACTCCTCTGTCCTCTTCTTTCATGTCCCACTGTGTCTGTGCTGGTGCACGCTGCTCCATAGACTTACCTTGTGTCTCTCCTCGTCTCCCGGCCGAACATCTAAGCTGTACATTGCGCCTGCCCCAAGATCCTTTGCAGCCGCCAGATACATTTTCAGATGTTTGGACGGGATTGCGTGACGGAGACACAGGTAACTATTAACCCTTTAAAAAAGTTTTTTTTTTTAAATGTTTTTCATAAATCTACTGCTGGCTAGCTGTAGATATATGCAAAAACATGCAAGGGTTTAATAACCCTTTAACATGCTAGGAATGGTGTTGCACAATGCTGTCAAATTAAAATTGGGAGATTGCTACCTGGACAAGGGAGAATAACTTGTGCTGTGCTGGTGCTCTGTCATTACGTGTGAAGGTCTTGTTGCCTTCAAACACAAGACTTACGATGTAAGATTTTCTGTGCATTTTTCATATGGTGTTTTTTTTTCTCTTTTATTAAAGGTCTGCTAGCTGCAGAAGGATTCCGAAATCGTAATGAAGAACATTTGAAAAGTATTAAACCGCAGGATGTCGTTAGCTTATGGAACAAATCCTACGGGAAGATCATAAACCAAGAAATACCTGACTTCTTCTCGAACAGCCTGTATGACACCCTGTGTAGCATGAACACAAAGGATTTCCGGTGCTTTTTATGGTTTCTGGAGGAGAACCGGAACATTGAGTCTGTGGACACTTTAGGAAAAGAATTAGATAAATATTTTCAAGAGATGGGTGAGCTATTGAATATGCTTCTAGGCTAGCAGTTGCTTCTGGATTGGAGGTGATGATTTCATTTTAATGAAACAGTCTTGATGACACTGATATCTATCTAGCGGCCCAAGCAACCAATCAGATATGGTCTTTTATGGATTGGGCTAAGCTCAGTTTTTTGAATTTCCTTGATCTGATGACAGACTGAGCAGAGGTTTTCTGCTGGTCTCTGCAAGGATTTATTTAATATCATGGAGCTATGCCTAGGGCTGCAGGAATCAGATTTAGAAGGGGCAGAGCCATGCACCAGAATTTCCAGCCTGTGATGACCTTTCTAAAAATGATCGCGGGGGTGTGGGGGGGTTTCACAGTAGATTGCTGTGGTAATAAACTTTTGCCCAGGCAAATGTACACTAAGCAGAAGAGTGTGCTTTTTAGTCCTCAGGCTGTACCCTGCTACATTTGTAGTAGGATTCAGTTTTAACTTGGTGTCCTTGGAGGTTGTGTGCTAGAACCTAGAAGTATGACATCTTACAGCAGAAATGAAGGTCCTTTTTTTTTCTTTGCCAACGTTTGTTAGACAGGAAAGGGTTTGTAATGCATTAATGGTTTGGTTAATGCAAAGGATGACATTTTGGGAGCTCCTTCAAGATCTCGATCCTTCTCTTAGCTGTCCCATTGTAGCTTTAGGCTGCCTAGGACCAGGAAATAGACCAAGTCTGCCTCAGACTCGAAATTAGCTCCCATTCATACCTAAGCATTTTGTCGCTTAAGGTATTACTAAAGGCATGGCTTGTTTTTTTACCTTACTGCAATAATGCAACCTCTGCCTTAAGGTAAAAATGCTCCATACCATTCCGTCGTCTGACCCCCCCCCCTTTTATCTGTCAGCGCCACTTGTCGTTGCAGCTGGTTGCGGGGAAGGAGATTGGGAGCAGAGGAGTTATAGGCTCCTTCTGTCATCAATCAACCTTCTGGGTGGAGAGAAGGTGTGGCCTGCTGTAGGGCTGAGTGTGTGTCTATAGACGCTCACAGCTACTGCGTGCATGGCCGGGAACGAACACCCTTAGGTGCCTTCACAGCAGATGTTGGCACCCCTGCGGGGAAAGAACTATGCGGCGAGCGGGAAATGGGCGTATTTTAAAAACGGGCAGCGATGCCTGTTACCATACAAGCGATCCGCCGGCTTTAGAGCGTGTATGGGGTGCCGATCGGTCCCCCTCCGCAGGTGGTGTCTATTTACCCGACGTGACCCGATCTTTTATATTTTACCAAAAAACTGGGTAATAATAAATGTTTCCTAACAATGTAAAAAAAAACTTTTTTTTTTTTCAAAATTTTCTGTAATTTTTCCTAATTATAATAAAAAATAAAAACCCGCAGTGGTGTTTAAATACCACCAAAATAAAGCTCTATCTGTCCCCAAAAAATGGTATAAAATTCATTTCAGTACAGCGTTGCATGACGGAATAAACGTCAGTCAAAGTATCGCAGCGCTGAACACTGAAAAATGGCTTGGCCAGGAAGGGGGTCTAAACACCTGGTCTTGAAGTGGTTAATATCACTTTACAGCTAAGCGACAAAACTCTCAAGACAAGGAATCCCATTTGCATGTTTTGTTGCAGAAACTTTCCAATTAAAGTTAATAGGACCAAAAAGCGCTGTAATCTGCCAAAAAGTAGCTTGTGTGCTGTGCGTTCCAGTGCAGCGCAATGAAAACCAATTGTGCATGCAGTTTTATTCTGAAGTAAGCTGTATGTTTTAAACTTTGTGTATTTTATTTTAAATTAAGGATGACATTTTTTTTTTATCCGATTTAATCGATTTTAATCAAAATAATAATCAGCCAACTAATCGATTTATGAAAATAATCATTAGGGACAGCCCTAACTCATTCACAAACCACTGACAATAATGGACTATAAGAAGATTAAAAGGTGTGAGGTTTCAATTGGGCTTTAAAAAAACACCTATTTGGTGTATTCAACTATGTATTTCTGTCAATAACATTACATGTAACGCATTTTCACCTTTTTCTGTTTACTACAGATGTACCATGTGATAAAGTTCCAGCTTATTCCCTTGAAGATTTGAGTGTAAGTTCATGTAATATGAGATATTGGCGTTATTGAGTCCATTCACTTAATTTTTGTGGGTAACTGAATTGCAGCCGACAATAGTTTATTATCTTATCAGCTCTGAGATGAAACTGAAGAATATTTGACTTCTTTTATTCAGTTGACTTAAAAGTTAAATTACAGGCAAACCGCTAAATAATCAGATTGGATGCATATTGGATGCATATAAGGTAGTTGATTACCTGCTAAGGGATTTGTATTTGTCCATTCACAGCTCTGGCACACGGCACAGTCCTGTCTGGAAGGGCAATAGACCTGCTTTTTCTTGGCTGAATGTAATTAAAGTGTATCTAGATGTGAGCAGGTTCACATCTTGTTCTTGCTGCAGCCAGTGATAGAAGGTATGAGATGTGCAGGGAGATAAAGGCAGGCTGCTGTTGGCATTGAAGTTGCAAGCTTAATTTGGAAAGGTTCCAGCTTGAATAAGAGCAATGTTAACACCAAGTTTTCTGCAAACTTTTACCTCGAGCAGCTTTCTTGAAGATTTTAAAGCTCCCTTCAGTTCCAAAATGTTAGGCACAGATTTTAATGAGAGTGCTGACTGTCGCTTTAAACAAGCTGCTAGCAGGTATCGGCAGACTTTCAGCATGCTTTAAATTGTGCTTTGGATATAGTGGAAAGAGGTGTTCTAATCAGTCAGGTTTTACTTGCTGGCTGTGCCACGGTTACGAAAACTCACCCTCTCTCTTTGTCCTGGTGACCTTTATCACTGAAAGTGAAAGAAAATCCCACATTTTGGGTTATCAGAACAGGAATAGATGGGACATCTTCCAATGAGGGCACTAGGTTTGGTGACCCTGCTGACCATCAAGGAATTCCCTCACTTTGAAGGGATTTCCGCTCAATTCCTGTTGTGGCTATCGAACAGGAAGCAAATGGAAATCTCCCAAATGTGACAAAGATGGTAAAAAAAAAAAAAGCTGCCAGTTATAACCCTCCCTTACTCTATCCAAAACGTCTAGATTGTTCACTTCTCCGGCCTTCTCCAAACTCTTCACCCTTCTGTGAATAACCCTGTTAGTGTTTTTGCTTCTGTTCTACATTAAACTTACCAAAGCCTTCCAGCAGCTTGTTAGACAGTTAGCACTCCCATTAAGATCTTCAATTTTTAAACTTCCCAAACTGGAGCTGAATGGCGCATTTAAAAGCTGCAATAAAGCTTGCCAAAATCTCGCTGTTCACACTGCCCTTATACAAGCCAAAGCCTGTGTGAACTAGGCCTGAAAGTGAATCGCACGTCAGTGCAGCAGGCAGGTAAAGCATGAGATACTGAATGCTGCTGCAGGTATGTGCAGGGGTCTCTACATACCTGCTCTTCATACCTGGTGGCGGCTTTGTTTTCCTAAAGTGACAGGGTCTCATTAATGTTTTATCAATATATTTGTGGTGGGTATGTGTCCGCCCTCTTGTAAGTGTTGTATTTCCCTATTAGTCCCTGAACACACCTGTTAGATTTGCACATCACCCCTCAGAAGAACCCTTTACAGCCCAATACTTGCTTGGTCACCAGCTCATTGCTTGGAATGACTGGGCCATGTATGGCTGTCCTAAGGTCTACTGATATAAACTGGGACATCAGGTCTCCCTGTACTAAACTACTCCTACCCTAATGTAGCTGAACTCTATAATTTCTCCCTTCTCTCTTTTGCATACAGAATAAAGGTCTGAAGATTAAACCTAAACATCGGAAAAAGAAACAGAATCAGCCGAAGGTAAGTGCCTGCGCAGACTGTTCTGAAATGTGAGTAGTAATGGGGGACCCGTCCTAACAGAAGAATGCAAGCTGACATTTCTGATCTCTGTTTTGAAATAAGGATTTCTGTCATAGCGATACTTTGCCTTTTGTACTTGGAGTTCCTGACCAGTATCTAGTATAGAGAAGAACGCTGATGTTCCTCTGACTTTATTTGTTGCATGCTTGTTCCTGCTCTTACTTTTTAAAGCCCAGCAAACAGTATTTTGCTGAGGCCCCACTCTTTCTTGTTGACTGGTGTACTTTAAGACCATATAGAGGTTCCATGGTGACATCACATTCTGGCTCCCGACACCTCTACAGGGCACGCAGGGAGCTGTACCAGCAATGCAGATATGGATGGAGCTCTGTCATAGCACAGCATCCCACACTGGACCCCAGACTGAGGATTCACTCCAGTTTTTGTAAGGAAGGAAGACTGGGTGGATGTTAAAAAAAATAAAATAAAACTAAACATTGTGTGTGGGATAGTGGTTGTGTATGTATGTCAGTGTTTTTGAGGGCCCATTCTACTACAGTGCATTAATCGCCTAGTACCATGTGATAAACGCACTGTACCACGCAATCGCACCTACCGTACATTCTGGTATGGGAGGTGTGTTGTGTTGCCATTCATTTGAATGATACCCCAAACGCACCTGCCACCCACAGTTCGTTCACCCACACCGGAACGCGCGGTACCGCAATGCCATGCATTCTACTGCAATGCGACTTGGGTCGTGACCTAATGACTAAGGACAAATGTGGGTCCTGAGGTTACATAGGTTGAGAACCACTGCTTTAAACCAAACCTGTGCTTTGCCTATGTAGGACAAATCAACAGGTTCACTTTGATGAGCTAGTCCTCAACAGGGTATCCCTCACCTTGAATATGTTGTCTTGCCTCACTGTCATGCTGCGACCAAGTGAAGGAAGCCTAAACTTGGAGTCACCTGCATTGGAGCTTACACAGGGCTAAGGGCCATCCTTCCTCATGTGTCAATGTTGGGCCACTTGGCAAGCAGCTGCACTGCCACATGATAGAATGGGTGCAGGTTATATGCTCCGCCACCCTCAGACGTACAGTGCATTTTCTGTGTGGTCCGGAGCAAATAAATTGTACGTGTTACAGGGAAGGGAACTCTGCTTGGGGAAAATAATAGGTTTGCTATGTTTTATGAATGCAAAAACTAACTTGTGTTTTATCTTTTCAGCCTATATATAAACTCTCTGGTGCTGTTAGTACCAGATCTCAGGAGGATGATATTTTTACAGAAGAAAATACCTTGTGAGTGCTTTTCGGTTGTGTGTTTTAAGATGGCTTTTATTGTACCTAAAGCCAAAACTTTTATTTCTTCTTCCTGTCTTGTAGAGACAACAGGAAGGGAGAGGAAATCACTCCAAAGTAAGGAAACCCTCTCTCAGGCAGTTGTCACCGCAGCAAATGTCCTTATTGTACGAATTCCCCTCTATTCCTTTTCTGATGACAACTTGGCTTTCCTATACCTTTCTGTGCCAGTAAAATGGCTGGAAGGACAAATGGGGAGATTAATCAACTTTATTGGGAGCACAGACCATAATAAAAACCTGACCAAGGTTGCTTGCTCTATTTGCCTCTTAACAAAAAAAGTTTTGGCTCCATATCCACTTAAAATTCTGGATTCCGACATGTCATCATTTGGTATTACTTTGGTTTTACCCTTGTACAATGTGTTCTAGGTTTTATAGTAAGTTATATTGTATTTCCACTAAATACACTTAAGTTTTTGATCATTTTTTCCCTCCTTCAGAAGCCTTTTGGACCCCTATGAGCCATTTGTAATACCTGAATTCCTGAGGCGAGACATAGATGAGTTTCAGAATATCTACGGTCCAGAAATATTTGGGAACAGATATTCGGTGCTGGTAGATGATGCCATGGACCCTGTCCGGGAAACTCTTTATGAGTAAGTCTTCTCTGTAATCTCTTAGTATTGTATATCTCTGGAGGGGGGGTATTCCTATTAAAATGTCCATCTTGGCCCTAACATCAGATTAAGTGCTTGAAGGTTGATGAGTAATTACGTTGAACATTAAGGGCCATTCACATCCACTGTCCCAGAGTGGTAGTTGCTGTGCAGAAGCCTTCATGTTTTTGGAAGTGTGTGATCATTTCACACAGCTGTGCCCCGTCTACTGCTGCGTGCAGGGTCGTATCGGGCAGCTCCCGGGAAGGACAGGTGCTGCGTATGATTAGTATGCAGCTCCTGTCTTTCTCTATGGGAGTACGCAGCCGTACGCCGCCCTACATTTCTCCGCCCTGCATGTACTCGTACGCTGACAGGATGGTTCCGGTCTGCGTCCGAGCCAGGCCACCCATACGGACCTGCACTTGGAGTGAGCGTAGGGCGGCGTACGGCCGCGTACTCCCATAGCGAAGGACAGGAGCTGCGTACTAATCACACGCAGCACCTGTCTTTCCCGGAAGCTGCCCGATACGGCCGTGCACACAGCTATACGTGTCGACTTTTTCTCATGTGAATGAGGCCTAAGTCAGTCTGCATCCTCTCTTTGACCAGCCACTGTAAAACCCATGACTGTCTGATACAGCCTAGCGGCCTAGCCCCTCAGCTGCTGCCTCTCTCTGTTACATTGCAGTCAAATACAGCTCAGCGTTTCTGCTGCTGCCTCTAACTCTCTTACCAGCTAGTGTAAAAATCCATCAAGTCCTATATAGCTCAGTGCCTTTTTCTGTCGCCAGAAGTTAACTCGCCAGAAGTTAGTCTGTGCACATGATTTGGAGGAGCTGAAATGAAAGAAATGCAGCAGTATTTTAACTTGTGTATATGGTTCGTCTCTCCTGCTTAGGTACTTTTCTCAAATATTGGAGGAACATGGACCCCTCAGCTTAGAGGATGAAATTCTGGTCGGGGAGTACAAAAGTTTTCCAGAGGAAACGCAGAGGATGGTAGAAGCATCTGGTGGACTGAAGGATTTTCTCTTGGAGTCATATTTGTTTACCATGGAGGGAGACTTTGTGGCTCTAACAGGTTATGACATTCCATACCTGGAACACTATGGAGGGAGTCAGCAGCTGAACCCAACCGCCGAGGAGTTTAGACCTTTGTTCTGTAGCCCTATACCTGATAATATTGACTTATATTCTGACCCCGGTCAGCTCGAGCCTAAACATTTATATCCCAGAACAGCTGGTACAAGACGGCCTTTAAGCCTACATAGTGATATAACCTTAAATTATACTGAATATTCTGATATATGTAGTAATCTTGATCACAGAACTTTGGGCACACCTGACAGTCCTAACTCTGACATAGACCCGGAATCCGATGGTGGTGATGAATATGATACGACGGATGGAGCTAGTGTTATAAGTAGCAGTGACTCCGGACCTTCCTCTGTAGATCAGAATATAACAATAAGTGAAAATGAGCCATTAAGCCAAGAAAACCCTTATACAGGTCAGCTGGACTCTAACATTAATAAGTCCTTAAACAGTGACGTTCAGCCGAGGAATAAACGGACTGCTATAGTATCTGTACAGGTAAGGAGGCTTCTGTGCTTGTCCAAGACAAAGAATAGCTAAAGGAATTCAAACTTGTACTATGTTGTTTTGAAACAGTACAAGGGTCATTATTAGAGATGCACCGAAATGAAATTTTGAGACTGAAAATAAAAGTCAGGCCGAAACCGGAAAAAAAAAATTCCAAGCTTTTAAAAAACAATTTTTAAATATTTTATTTTTTCTAAACTTTGTAATTTAATTTTTTTATTAAATATTTTAAATTTTTGTCTTTTACTGTTGGGGGCTTCGGTGAAATATCCGGGAAACAGATCCCTAATATTTCCCTTTCACCGCAGAAAAAGAGATTGAGAACACAGAGTCCACAATCTTTTTCTGCAGCCCAGCATTGAATGAACAGGAATCCTCTGTATTGTACTGAGTGTTCCTGTTCATTCATACACTAGATATAGTGCGAGTTATTATGTGCACAATCGTGAATGAACAGGAAGTCATGTAGATCACTTCCTATTCATTCACAACTGGTACATTGTAACTCATGCGATGTCCGGTTATTTACAAACATTCAGCTATCACTAATCGCTGACTGCTTGTACCCGCTCTCCATCCATCCTGCATCGGCTGTCACAGGAGGCTTAGCGAGCGGTGTGGGGAGGAGAGCTCGGTCTCATTTAACAGCTTACTCCCCTCCCCCTCACCACCGGCTCGGCCTTCTGTGACGGCTGTCTCTGCCCCCACTTTGCTCTCCATCCTGATTGGTCACAGGAGGCTGAGCGGGGAGGTGCGGGAGTAGAGTTCAGCCTCCTGTGATATCACGGCTCACAATGCTTTCCTCGCCGCTGGACACTGCGCTGTGTCAGAGTACACACAGCACAGCGCCGACCGGGGAGGAGAGAAACTAGTGATGCACCGCAATTTCGGGTGAAGCATGGCACTTTCAGCATTTTGCCCAAAGTGCCATTTTTGTCTGATATGTTTAGGTGGCCAAAATTTCGGTGCAACCCTACTCATTACATTAGGTATATTTTGCTAAAATGAACCTGTGTTCACTTTTTTCCCCCCCACACATGAGAAAATGACAGGTTCTCTTGATAGCCTAATTCCCTGCTCAACCTTCCAATGCTTCCACACCACTCTTCTCAGCTGCCAGTGGCCTGAGTAGGAAGCCCTGAGTAAGTTCTGGGTTGCTCTGCATTAGAAATTACACAGAGCCAAAGATGTCAGCTCTGTACCCTTGTGACAGTGCTCCGGCCTCACAATTGGGTGATTAGCCACTAAGCACTGCATCATGGGAGGAGCAGGAGAAGATTACGCCACCATACCCTGAAGTACCTGCTGTTTGTTATGGCTTTGGTTGATGAACAATGTGTCAGAGGAATGTATTGAATGTCAGGATCAATAAAGAGGCAGGGTCTCAAATGAGCCTATTTCTTTTCCCACCACGGGCAACGTGACTGGTTCACCTTAGAAAGTGAACCCCCAGAGCGTGTGTTACTCGAGTATTTTGCAAATATATACAATTCATAAATCCAACAGCCAACACTAAAGGGACGGCACATGCTTTACATGACGGAATACCCTGCCCTGAGTTTTCAGTGGAAATGCACTTTATTAAAATGTCACTGTAACCCGTTAAACACATTTAGAAGCAGTGAATTTCACAGAAGGCCTGAAGCCTTAGACCTAGTACTGATAATTGTGTTACATTTTCCTGTCCACTGACCAAATCTGCAGGGGATTTCCTTTATCGGGGATCCTAATCTCAAGGTTCCAGTTTACCGTTTCTTCCACAGGCAATTGGCAGATTATTATTTGATTTGTAGATCTCTGTTCTGTACATCAGAGAGATGAATAGAGGTCTGGAAATGGTTACCGATGGCTGACGAGATCAGCAAGAAGTACCGTGCATGGGTGGGCACTGTTTGGTGGTGCCTATGCTCACTAGTAGCTTGCTAAGCATTTGAAAACTAGAGACAGGTGCGTAAAAGTTTCCTTTATATTAATGTTATTTTTTTCCATTTTCTTCCTTTTATTTCAGGTAAATACAGAAATGTCACATTGTGAAGTAAATACAGATGTCTTTCAGCCCTTCGAGTCTCAGCAGGTAAGATGTTACTTCACCTATTCATGGACAAGTCTCTGACCTTCTGTTTTCCTGATTACTTGACTTCTCTACTTTTCACCAAGCAGAGGGGGAGTCGGTCAAGTGATTTTGGCGGCTGTTCATCACTTGTAATTAGCCTGCTGCTCCGTCCCACCCCCCCCATGGTCCGTCCCCCTCTGCCGGCCGCCTCTCTCCCCACTGTAGTTTTTGGGGGGCCCGGACCGTGGCAAATTACTGCATGATGGAGAGCGAGGAGCAGACCGGAGAACTCCTGTTCTCCGCACTGCTCTGTGTTAACAGTAAGATGGGAGCACTGTACACAGCCTTCCAATCTCAGCTGTCACAGGAGAGCCAGCAGAGCTCCTGTATTGGGAGGTGACAGGTTCAGTAAAGAGAACCTTTCACCTCCAAATGCTATCACACAGGTGCTTGTTATCTCCTGTGTGATGGCGATAAATTAAGTTCAAAAAATGTAAAAAAATAATAAATAAAAAATTGCTAAATAAAAATTTAAAAAGTAAGATAAGAAAAATAAAAATTTACCAAAAAAATAATTATAATAAAGAATAATAATTTTACTGTTGGGGGGTCACCACAACTTGGCAAATGTTACCCAGCCCCAGAAAGGTTGAGAACCACTGCCCTGAAGAATCCTGGTTGGGTGAAACATGTAGTTTCTGTGATTTTTTTAATGTCATACATCACTTGTGACGATGGAGCTGGCTTCCCAGCCAATCAGGAAGCCGGGCAGCGTGTAATGACTCGCTACCCGGCTTCCTGATACCGGACGCTCAAGTATCAGGCTAGGTATTGGAGCATTTGGGTGAGTAAGAGTACTCAGCATCGGTGCATCCCTAATACCCAGCATCTTGTACTCCTACACTGTAGTATATGCTCCCATCATTAAGTGAGCACTGCTCATTTCAGAAGTTTGGAATGACACCCCTGGTGAAGAAGGATCCCCTCACCTCTTTAGACTGACCAAAAGACTATTGGAGAGACGTGTTATTTTTTTTATTGGAGCATTACTTTAAAAAGGCCGAACCTTTTTTGGCCGTAGTTCTCTTTAGGTTCACAGGAGGAGATATAGTAATGTCCTCCTGTGACCCAAAACTCAGCATATACTGACAGCGCAGAGCCGCGCTGCAGCCTGATTGACAGCCTGCCCCCTCCCCTGTCCGTCCCTCCAGTCAGCGCTGGAGGAATGGACAGGGGAGAGGGGAATCCCTGCGGCAAGTGGGGACGGACAGTCACTACTCTCTGCATGGAGAAGATCGGAACTGAGTGATCAGCGCTACGTAGTCGCTCAGCTCTCCATAGAGTGTGACTATTGCAGTGTTACACGTCGGTTCTAATTATGGGGATCAGTGTATTTCACTCATCCCATAGATCTCCTTATGATCTCCACTATGAAACTACTCCAGGACTACTCCAGCTGCTGCTTAACGCTTGCATGCCATAGTTATACCACAATATGTGCTGTGTGCGCTGCTTGTGTCCCTGAGTCCATAGTTGTAGAGCCAAAAGTAAAAATATTGAATTGTTGGTGCTCAGCACTCGGCCCCTTGGTGCTGTAAGAGCAAACAGAAAGATGTTTAATCATTAACCAAAGGCAAGATTGGTATTGCTCTATGAGAATTAGTTATGTGTTGTGTCATTGAAGGAGGATGGTCCACCAGTACAGGAAGCCATCATTCTGTAGATATTGGCCAGCCATGCTTCATTAGACTGACATTACCAGCCATGAGGTCACTGACCTGGAATATTTAGTATAAATGCTTGAACAAGCATAGGTTTTCTTTCTGTCCCTTTAATAAAGTGGGATACATCTTGCTGGCTTGGACTTCTGCTCTCTGCGGGTTTTGATTCTTGATTTGGTCTTTCTGTTGGTGCAGGATCCCAGCACTACAAGTCTACAGTGCTAATCTAATGATTAACCATTGTGTATCTTTTCTCTGTGGATACTCACATGTACGTACTGTATTCTGGTCGTGCATCCTTGAAGAATCCATTTACAATATTTGTAACATGAACCTGTGCACGGAGATGTCGCCTGTCGCTGTGTGACACCGGCAGAAAGCCAGCCATAGGCATGTTCTACTGTTCCAGAGTAATATGTGTGATTGTATGCTCTTATTTCAGGGGGATATTTTGCGTATGGAAAAGGAGCAGGTAGCACTGATAGACCAACTCAAAGAAGCAACTGAGAAATATGAGAACTTGAAGAGCCGCTTCCAAGAAGAGAAAGATGGCCTAGAAGAGCAGATAAAGAACACTGTAGAGACAAATAAGGTATCCAAGTCTTTTATTTTTTCATTTTTTTATATGCAGAAATCCCATATAAGAACATAAATCAGAATGCATATACACTCACTGGGCTCTTTATTAGGTACACCTTGCTAGTACTGGGTTGGACCCCTTTTGTCTTCAGAACTGCTTTCATTCTTCGTGGAATTGATTCAACAAGGGGATGGAAACATTCCTTAGAGGGTTTGGTCCATACTGACATGATAGCATCACACAGTTGCTGCAGATTTGGCGGCTGCACATCCATGATGCGAAGCTCCACCAGCCTGAACTGTTGATACAAGGCAGGATGGATCCATGCTTTCATGTTGTTTTACATCAAATTCTGGCCCGACCATCCGAATGTCGCAACAGAAATGGAGACTCAGACCAGGCAACGTTTTTCCAATCTTCTATTTTACAATTTTGGTGAGCCTGTGCGGATTGTATCCTCCGTTGCCTGTTCTTAGCTGACATGAGTGGCACTCGGTGTTGTCTTCTGTGGCTGCAGCCCATCTGATTCAAGGTTCAATGTGCTGTGTGTTCAGAGATGCTCTTCTGCATACCTGGGATGTAACGAGGGGTTATTTGAGTTCCTGTTGCCTTTCTATCATCTTGAACCAGTCTGCCCATTCTCCTCTGACCTCTGGCATCAACAAGGTATTCTTGCCCAGAGACCTGCCGCTCACTAGATATTTTCTCTTTTTTGGACCATTCTCTGTAAACCCGAGAGATGGTTGTGTATGAAAATCCCAGGAGATCAGTTTCTGAGATTTCAGTTTCTGAAATACTCAGACCAGCCAGTCTGGCTCCAACAACCATGCCACGTTCAAAGTCACTTAAATCACCTTTCTTCCCCATTCTGATGCTCAGTTTGAACTTCAGCAGACCATCTTGACCACGTCTACATGCCTAAATGTATTACGTTACTGACATGTGATTGGCTGATTAGATATTTGTGTTAACGAGCAGTTGAAGAGGTGTACCTAATAAAGTGGCCGGTGAGTGTATGCTTATAATAACAGAGCCATAACCCACAAAACATAAAAAAATGTAAGGGTCGGTCCACCAAAAAAAACCTACATTTTAGTTTTAGTAGGTAAAGACACACATCTGGTACCATCACTAAATATATCTGCAAATAGCGTTTTCCCCCATTTCCCCCCCCCCGATCATCCTCCAGGACAGCAACCGGAGAAATGATTGGTTCATCCAACTACAGTACACACAACTAGATAGGTTTCAAGGTTTAAAAACCCCTCCCACCCCCCTGTCCTTCAGTTTAGATTGCGATTCCTACCATCCAGGACTTGGCAACATTTGTCGTCTTTCATGATCGGATGGTCATTGGGTCAGCGGTCTCCATCTGATGCAGCTCTGCTGGGTTATGGTTGCTGTAAAACTAGCATACTATCTCTGGAAGGAGCTTAAAGCAGACCTCCCCCCGGATCCTCACTAATAAACTAAAAGGCATTTTTAAATGCATATGAAATGGCAATTTAAAAAAACATAATTTTATTATTTGCAAGCTTTTTTCCCCTTGATTACCAATTATTTCTGTGTGTTTGTCCCGATGGCAGATGATTTCTTTTTTTTATTTTGCTTCCTGGTCTGGGGAAATTCATCTTCTGAGCATGCTGCGTTGGTCCGCTGTACACGCAAAGTTCTGTAATCGCCTTCTTACCTGTTATCATAGCAGTTTTCATTGCCAACGCGTGTTCTTCTTCCACAGATTACGAAAAAAGAACTGAGTTGGTTTCAGCAGGAATATGAGAACGTGTCCAAGAAATGGCATCAAGAGAAGAAGGAAAACCAGGAGAAGATTAAGGCTCTTAAAAATAATGTTAAAATGACTATAGACGCCAGTGACAGGTGAGGACTTGGTGTTTGGTTTCTATACATAATCATGCTACTCATCAGTGTGGTATCATAAAGGGTTCGTAGCCCACCTTTTCCAGTACCTCACACAGGGTTTTATCAGGTAATCCAGCCAGCCACATGGTCACATGTCTTCTGATCATCTCCACCCTGTAATCCCTCTTTGTAGTCCCTTGGCTCACAAAGCAACTCTGCAAGCCCAGGGACACTGCAGAGGGATTCAGGATCGGGGAACACAACGAGAGATTGGTGAACTCCCATTCACTGATGTCCTTTAATATTTAATGACCTCCAAAAGCGCTCAGTTCTGACAAATTCTTGAGTCAGAACACATGGCAGCAAATCAAGGAGTCCTGTGTTCCTATTCCACATTGCATGTACACACCTATTAGGGGACACATGTTGGATATCCCCATGTATGCCAGACAAAGAAGAATCATTTAAAGGGGTTCTAAACCCTCCGGGTTTTTTTTGCTTATATCTACTGCTAGCATGCAATAGATATAGGCAAGAAGTGTAAAAAAAAAAACCGCTTAAAATCATTTTAAACTTACCTCGTTATCGCCGCTCGCTCCCGCGGCGAGAATCAGGAACTGCTCGTACGGCCGCAAAGGATCTTGGGGCGGGCGCATGCGCAGTTCCGATTCTCGGCCGGGAGACGAGCAGGGACGCAAGGTAAATCTATAGATGCGTGCACCCGCCTGCAGACACCGCTGGATCGGAGAGACAGAGCAGTCAGCGCTGGATCGGAGTGACGTCACACCGCTGGAGGGACAGATGAAAACATGGGGGAAGATCGGAAAAAGAGACATCATTTAAGGTAAGTGCTAACATTTACATGGGGGGGAGGGGAAAAATGTTTGCCTTTTAATATCACTTTAAGACCATCATTCAGGGTTAAATCTAAAGCTGGATTCACACTATTCTGTGTGCATGCAACCAAGCACGGCAAAGCACATGTGTAAGTGTGAGCAGCAGTCTCGTATACTTTACCTTTTCTTCTAACACTAAACTGCTTCAGCTAAATGTGAACCAGCCACATGGGAAATAATGGGATTTCCACTTGCACTGCATCTACTGCATGGCTTTTGCTGCATGAAAATAGTCTGGCTTGAATAGACCCTAAAGTGATGAGCTGTAAAGGTCTTTTGGGGGGGGGGGGGGTTGGGGGGGGAATTTCAA